TTTCGGCAGTCAACTTGCAAGCCCCAAAATGCCCTCTTATACTGCTAAGATGAGAATACAATCTTCATGAAAGTTGATCCAATGGGTGTCTATTATAACATATCCAAATTTGAGCCCCATTGGATCAATATTGACACCTCAGGCCTTCCCACTCCAAACATGGTTCAGAGAATTCATTTTGGGCTGCTGTGGCATCATTTTTTGTGTCAACTCTTTTTCTACGTTTTACCGCACTTGGAAAGGATGGCTTAATCAACTTGGACTATGCACAGAAAACACATCATGGGAGGAGAGATCTTGCAGCAAATGCAATGATGGATAAAACAAGAGATGCCAACCCATGCTAAAAGAAGAAAAGAAAAGGAAGATGCTGCCAGCACTAGAGTAAAATAGACAAAATTGGCAAAGTGGCAATTGACTTGTCGGCAAGTGGAGGAAATATTCAATCAATGAATGGAATTGATGAAACAAAAGCTACTCCCACTTTCCTATAAATAGAGAAGTCCTCCGCAGTATTCACAGACCCAAGCTCCACAACTCTTGAGCTTTCTCTCTTTCCTCCATCTTTATAGTTCTAAATTTCTATTTAGTTTTTATGGGGAACTAACTCCCTAGCTAAGGCTAGGGAGAAATCTTTTAATATAAGTGTGTAATTTTTATTAGTTTGATTCAAACTTAAGCTTTAATGTGAATTTGTAGTTTTTGTTCAAATGGAATTTGTAGTTTTCTTTTTAATTAATTGATGAATGTTCGATAATCTATTTCATGGGTTCAATCATGTTTTTCCCATTGTGTAGTAAAAACTTTCATACTTTTAAAAGAGAAGAGAATTACTTAGATTAATAGAGTTTTGATTAAGATTATTTTTTTGATAGTTTGTTGCCAATGGTACAAATTATGCTTAGAATACTTCTAAAGGAAATTAAAAAGAGCTTTAATTATTTTGAACAACTACAATGGAAAATATTTTGTGGATCAAATTATTAAGAGTTGCATGCTTATGTTAAAAGTGGAAACCCAATGCCTTAGTGTTTTAATCAAATCTTGCATAAATCAACCTCTCAATCACACTTGTTCTTTTTTTTCATCTCTGTTATTTTCTTTACACTGCTCTCTGTGGATACGACACTCAGACTTCCGAGCTACACTACTATACGATACCTTCCCTTGGGTTTTGCAAAGTGGTATTAACAATACTAGTACAGAACACTTGTCCCTCAAATTGATTTCACAAATTGACTAAAGAAAGACAAATAAATCAAAGGAAATAAACGAACCGAAAATCTATTAAGAAAAATGCATGCATATTGCATAATATGAACAACTATCGAAAGCAACGTATCTGAAATTATTGTCTAGAAAGGTAAGCCATCTGAGTCTCTTTTTTTATTGGGCAAAGAGATTATCCATAAGATGAAAGCAAACAAACAGTATAAACATGAAGTCAAAAGAAAGCCGGGAAACACCTCATGTGACCAAACAACAAGGAGAAAAAGAAAACAAAGATAGACTAGAGAAAGCAAAGAAAACAAAGACTGCTATCTAAGTCTATTCACTAAATACAGATGGATCGAGTTTGATTAAACCAAGCCCTTGTAAAGACATGAGTACCTTGTTTATCTTCATTTGTTCATCTTCCCCAAAAATAAAAAAACGTGAGAATCAGGCATAGGAGGGTGAGATTCTTTATGGGGTTTGGTATTTATATCACCCACTCAAAAGTCTCACACAATACACCATTTAATGAAATACCTCAAAATCAGTAAGTTTTTTAATACCACCGTACTTTTTCTTATCTTTTAAAAGTCCTAATTGAATACCACAAGACTTGGATTGATTATTTAAAAATCCTAATTGAATACCACCAGATTTTTATTGATTACTTAAGAATCCTAATTGGATACCCCTAGACTTTTAAGCTTCAAAACAATCTATTAAAATTTCAATTGAATACACCCCTCTTAGTTATGTCCTCTATCAATTCCATTGATTTGTTGAATATTGGCGAGCCTGCCAACTCCCCATCTAAAATTATATTGTCATATCTGTCGTTTCCATTTCAGGTATGGAGGTAGATTGCTATCTATATATCCAACCTCCTTATAAATGTGCGTCTTCATTGCATGTACCGTACTTACACAAGAGCTACTCTTTGAGTGTCTGTTTATTGGTCATTTCTATATGTTCTCCTCCAACTAGCTATTTCATGCCATTGAGTTAAACCATCTGACTAAAATCACGTCATGTGGATGATAACTGCTATTAACCACTTGAGTTACAAACTCTTATCCCGATAATTTTTTTCTTCATATCGACAATTAACTTTTAGAAAGTATATGATTAATACTAACACAAACTAATAAAGGGAGTTAGTATTCAATTGTAGCCGCATGGTGATTCAATAAGAGCTTAATTAATCCAATTCATCATACAAAACCACATGGTAAAACTTCTTCTTTTCCAAGAAAAGTTACAAGAAGGATCATGTCCTGGCAGGCCAATCCGAAGAGGTCCAAAGCCGAGTTTTGAAACAATCATTGCAAATCGTGTGGATTCATTAAATAAATTTGCTCAAAACAAGTTGGTTTGTTTTACTACAATAAGGTGGGTTGAACGCGCGTTTCAAACAAAGTATGCCACAAACCTTGCGACCATTGCAGTTAGTTCTTTTGGCACCTATGTATAAATGGAGGCTGATCTTCTTTTTTTGTCAAATGGAAACTTTTTTTGTCAAATAGCAAATAACTTTTTCATTTGGGCTTGGTCTTAACGAGGAAGAAATTTGTCTGCATGCAAATCAATTATAAGTGCAAACAATTAGCACACGTGAATTACGCCAGTTGGTCAGAGCAGTTAGTCAGTCCCTCCAAATTTAAGTCAACTTTCTCGTAAATTAGAGTAATTTAGATTATCATTTGTATAAAAAAAATTGTATAAACAATTAAAAACTTTGTCATTTTTGTGATATATAGGAACAATTATCGCTAGCAACCATGAACAAAAAAAGTCTTGTTTTTTTTGGTCAACCAAAAGGTATAGAAGAAATGGTGTGCATTTATAGAAACAATTGTCAACTGTACTCTGTTTCCCAAAATGTTGGATGGAAATGTCATTTATATGTTAAGGATCACTGTTTGAACATTCAATGTTACTCTGCATGTTATATGATTAGTCTTTTTTCTGTTAGCAACTCCCAAACCATTGGAGAAAAATAAAAAGCTGTCTATTTAAAGGAAGGAAAGGGATATGAAGTTTTATATATATAAAAAAATTGGGGCTTCAACTCCTAGAAGATTTGACAATTTCTAAAGAGTGTTGCTATTTCCACCCACCTGTTTTATTTTCCCACTCACCTTATTTTCAAAATTTTAAAGATAAATTTATCCCTTTATAAAATTACTTCAAAGGACTTGAAAAAACATATTTAAAAAATCATATAAAGTTAATTAATTTTCTTTCACAACACAATATATTAGTTTTTAAAAAAAAGGGGAAAAAAATTCCTTCCTCTATCTCTCTTTCATGTACAAAGAACAATTTTATTTAACATCTGTTGTTTGTTTTCAAAATTTGTCCTTTTCTTCCTTAACATCAACAACAACGTAATCTTAATCTCAATCCTTCAATCTTTTCATATGGGTGGTCTCCATCTTCCTCAAAATTAAAAGAATAAAAAATTGAAAAAATAAAAAGATTGTACAGAAACCACCAGTCATCACAAACCCAGCACTACCTCCCCTGGTCGATGACGGTGGGATATGGATCGCAGGTCCAACTGAACCCTAGTCAACTTAAGGGTTGATCCACAATCAACTTATGTATTCCTTGTTTTCTAGAGAGAGAGAGAGAGAGAGAAGAAGAAGAAGAAGAAGATAAACAAAGAGGAAGAAAGAGGGGTGGTGGGCGGTGGTTGATGGTTCTTTTTTCTTTTTTCTTTTTTATTTTTTATAATTGTTTGAATTAATTTAAAGGGTATTTTAGCAATAATTGTGGGTGAGAAAATAGGATTGTATTTTTTCAAATTTATATGGTGGGTGAAAAGATAAGGCGGGTGGGAACATAAAATAAGGGGGTGGAAATAGCAGCACTCTTTCTAAAAGCAAAATTAACGTAAGCACGGGCCGCAACTTTGAAGAATTTAACACAATTCATTTAATATGAACTAATTTCTTGAAGTTATTAGAGATTTTAATATAGAAGCAGAGGTTAACAATTAAAAACACTCAAAAGGTTCACAATCAAAAGCATTACAATTCGATCAATAAAAATGTTATTCTTGGACGATTGGATTGAATCCCTCGACACACTCCCTAAACCCCATGTGGGTTAACATTAGGAAACAAAATCTAGTCCTTTGTTGGGCCAGAAAAGGAAACTCAGCTTGTATTTTGGACAGATTGCAGGCCCAAGCCCAGACAAGAAAGCCCATTATCCTTTTTTTTTTCTTCTGTGGTTCTAAAGTCTGGACGAAGCAACAAGTCGTTTTAAGTTTCCAAGGCTTCGGCGTGACTGTCAATTTTGGAGTGGAAGAAGCTAAATGAGGAGTGCTAACAGTAGTTTGGCTTAAATTTTAGTACATTGAAGGCTGCTTTCTCCCTGTCCATCGGAGCACATTGCTTGACTAGGGTGGATTTGTTTCTTTGTTTTCTGTCCTTTTTTTTTTCTTTTCAAAGGAGTTAACCTATAACAATATTAATGCAGGCTGTTCTGATGGAATGTAATTCTAAGGCCGGAAAGCCCTTTGTAAAATTGCATTAATATTGCTTTCTCCCTGTGCCAGTGCAGAACCACCAAAACAGGTTCTGTGGTGATCCCATTTGGATATTGAACTTGAGATTTTCAACTTACGTTAACGGAGCAGGAGACGTTCTTAAGCACAAAGGGTATGAGCCACAATATCTGTATTTGGAAGGTATAGAGTGAGAGTGGTCTGATTTCAGTGATAGAAGAAGCCTCTTTTAAAAGCCTCTAACCACCAGTAACAATGAGCAGAAGCTATATCCTCTGGAAAACCATGTCTTTGACATGGTGTCAGAATCTTACAAGTGCGGACTATAGAGTAATTTTATTTGAAAGAAATTTCAATTATACCCAGCATGCCTTTCCGAAAAGTTCACAGAGAGGCTTGGAGGATTGGTTCTCTGTGATCTGTTAAGAAGAGTGCTTGGGAGTACCAACTAAGAGAGCTTTGATAATTGGTACAGACTTTTCTGTGGTCTTTATGATCCCCAGAAACATGAGCCTATAAACAATTACCATCCCAAACAAAATGGCAAGATCAACCCACTTAGAGTAGCCCATCTGCACTTGCCAAATACTACGCAATATTTCTTCGCCAGTAATCGTGGACGGCCCTGCTGCTTGATCATTAGGAAATGTTAGTCCTTCAAACTCATTTTTATAGAATCCTTCATTTGCATACTTGTGGAATGCAATGTAGTACATTGGGTATCTCCAGAAAGGCTTAGGAAGATCTTTCGGCAATCGGAAGAAACCTCCATTCAACATCATCACTCCTTGAATTCCGGCACCAGTAATAATTCCCATGAGAAAATCTGGCACAATGCTTGCCACAATCATCATTAGGCTCTCAACCAACATCATGGTCACAAAGAGCAGCAGTGCAAAACAGGCAAAGTGCTCAAAGCTCTTTTGAAGGCCAACCATGTAGTAGGCTATTGCTCCAGGAATTAAAGAGATGATCAGCAAATATGGGATGGAGGAGAATGTGTTTCCAACAACAAATGCCGAAACACCATAGTGCCCGTTGAATCTTTCACGCCCGAAGATCTGGTTAGTAAGAGAGGAAAAAAGGTCAGATCACCACAAATGCTCAACAAACCAGGACATGTATCAACCAAACTGACTAACCTTCATGTCTTCTACAAAAGAAGGGAAGCCGCCTATTGCCATGAAAGTCAAGAATGCTCCAACAAACATGAGCATTGCACCTCTAGCCTGAAAATCAGTTATTTTGAAGCTATTAGATTATACTAACAGGCTAATGTGTGCGATAACATTAGAGAAATATATCACTAGAATTCACCCAATTACCTGTATTGAGCCAAAAGTGGAGCCAATGTCGTAAAAGATTGTCCCTACGCATAAGCACAAGGCAATGTAAATTGCAAGGCGAAGCCAGTAGTAGCCTAGATCACGATACATGTTCACGAAAGATCTCCTTGTCAGAACCAGGCATTGGGTTATGAAGTTGGCCTGGCTTCCCTTCTCTAGATCCCCACCTTTCTACAAAACAGAAGAACTCAAGCTATGTTTTTTTTCTTCTTCTTTTTCTTATTATTCTGTGTTTGATCAGCTAATGCTTAAAATTAAAATTGAACCATTCAAAACCATATGCTTATTTACCTGTTGGCAAATCTCAGCTACTTGTTTCTGAACTTGCTGGAAATGATTTGAAGACTTGTATGATTGTATGAGAATATTAATTGCTTCCTCAGTGCTTGTTTTGCCATCAAACCCTTGTTCGATATCCTAGCGTCAATATTCAAGGTAAGTTTTTGTTTTTATTTTTTGGTTGTTGGAGTAATCATAAGTTTATCCAATGAAGCTAATTTCTTTTAAAATGAAGGGATTACTGTTCTAAGAAGACTTACAACATCGAAATCCTTGTTGATGGTTCTAAGGTAGTGATCTGCTGGGTTTCTCAGAGTAGGACAAGGGAAGCCATTTGAAGCAAAAAACTGCACCATTTAGATTGGCACAATTATTTAATTGCTCATAAGAAGTAAACTTATTCATGCTGATGAAAGTCAGAATGATTCGTGGCTGCACATTCATTCTTCAAATAAGCTTAATACCTGTTCTGCCATTGAAGCAGGGCCAAAGTAGACTGTTATACCAGAGGATAGAAGGCAAAGGTTTTGGAAAAGCTCAAAGACTTCACTGCTAGGTTGATGAATTGATGCAATAACGGTCCTTCCATCCCGGTGCGCTAGCTTAACAATGGCCTTCATTTGCATACTTGTGGAATGCAATGTAGTACATTGGGTATCTCCAGAAAGGCTTAGGAAGATCGTTCGGTAATCGGAAGAAACCTCCATTCAACATCATCACTCCTTGAATTCCGGCACCAGTAATAATTCCCATGAGAAAATCTGGCACAATGCTTGCCACAATCATCATTAGGCTCTCAACCAACATCATGGTCACAAAGAGCAGCAGTGCAAAATAGGCAAAGTGCTCAAAGCTCTTTTGAAGGCCAACCATGTAGTAGGCTATTGCTCCAGGAATTAAAGAGATGATCAGCAAATATGGGATGGAGGAGAATGTGTTTCCAACAACAAATGCCGAAACACCATAGTGCCCGTTGAATCTTTCACGCCCGAAGATCTGGTTAGTAAGAGAGGAAAAAAGGTCAGATCACCACAAATGCTCAACAAACCAGGACATGTATCAACCAAACTGACTAACCTTCATGTCTTCTACAAAAGAAGGGAAGCCGCCTATTGCCATGAAAGTCAAGAATGCTCCAACAAACATGAGCATTGCACCTCTAGCCTGAAAATCAGTTATTTTGAAGCTATTAGATTATACTAACAGGCTAATGTGTGCGATAACATTAGAGAAATATATCACTAGAATTCACCCAATTACCTGTATTGAGCCAAAAGTGGAGCCAATGTCGTAAAAGATTGTCCCTACGCATAAGCACAAGGCAATGTAAATTGCAAGGCGAAGCCAGTAGTAGCCCAGGTCACGATACATGTTCACGAAAGATCTCCTTGTAAGAACCAGGCATTGGGTTATGAAGTTGGCCTGGCTACCCTTCTCTAGAGCCCCACCTTTCTACAAAACAAAAGAAACTCAAGCTATGTTTTTTCTTCTTCTTCTTTTTCCTTTTATTCTGTGTTTGATCAGCTAATGCTTAAAATTAAAATTGAACCATTCAAAACCATATGCTTATTTACCTGTTGGCAAATCTCAGCTACTTGTTTCTGAACTTGCTGGAAATGATTTGAAGACTTGTATGATTGTATGAGAATATTAATTGCTTCCTCAGTGCTTGTTTTGCCATCAAACCCTTGTTCGATATCCTAGCGTCAATATTCAAGGTAAGTTTTTGTTTTTATTTTTTGGTTGTTGGAGTAATCGTAAGTTTATCCAATGAAGCTAATTGCTTTTAAAATGAAGGGATGACTGTTCTTACAACATCGAAATCCTTGTTGATGGTTCTAAGGTAGTGATCTGCTGGGTTTCTCAGAGTAGGACAAGGGAAGCCATTTGAAGCAAAAAACTGCACCATTTAGATTGGCACAATTATTTAATTGCTCATAAGAAGTAAACTTATTCATGCTGATGAAAGTCAGAATGATTCGTGGCTGCACATTCATTCTTCAAATAAGCTTAATACCTGTTCTGCCATTGAAGCAGGGCCAAAGTAGACTGTTATACCAGAGGATAGAAGGCAAAGGTTTTGGAAAAGCTCAAAGACTTCACTGCTAGGTTGATGAATTGATGCAATAACGGTCCTTCCATCCCGGTGCGCTAGCTTAACAATGCGGTTCATGACATGGTAAGATGCTGCACTGTCTAGCCCACTTGTAGGCTCATCAAGGAAGAGAAGCTTGGGACGAGTCAAGATTTCAATGCAAATGCTAACTCTTCTTTTCTGTCCACCACTGAGGCCTTTTACGCTCCAACCGCCAATTCTTGTGTCCATGGAATCTTGCAAGCCCATCTCTCTGATTGTCATCTCTGCTCTTTCCTTCTTTTCTACTTTAGACATGGAGTCAGGCAGTTGGAGTTGTGCTGAGTAATATACAGCTTCCCTGACTGTTAATGTAGTCATTAGAATGTCGTCTTGAGTCACGTATGCCTGCATATCGATAAATCAAACACAGCGATTATTATTGACCTTTCCAGGAAAAAGAGACAATCCAAATTCTTATTTCTTACAAGAGAAGTTAGAGAACACTTTGATATGAAAATGAGAAAGTATTGTACATAAACCAGATTTCGGGAAATCGGAAGGTTAAGATGGAAATCAAGAAGATTTCACATTATGGTGTGAAGGTTTGGTTCATTACTGTGGATTGTATGTGATTAGATATGCATATATAATGTGTTCCTTCCTTCACTATTCTTACCGAAGTTCCAAAAGCAAGTGTTTCTCTACGGCCATTGATTAAAATCTCCCCTGTCTGCTGTGTGTTTGAACTTAGCCTGCCTGCAATATTCAAATGTTTTTCAGCAGTATCTTTTTTTATGGAATAAAGAAAAACCTGCCTGCAATAATCAAATGTTTTTCAGCAATATTTTTTTTTTTTATGGAATAAAGAAAACTTCATAGCTATCAAGCTGACTTTATCAAATAATTCAAATTAACAAAAAGGTCAACAAAGAGAAGATTTGTACAGGCTCGTTTGGGACGCTTTTATTATAAAAATGTTGAAATTTTCATAAGAAATCCAGGTGCTTCATGGAAAAGCACTCAAGATTACTTCTTGAATAAGGACATAGCAGGTGCTTCTCAAAAAAGTGCTTATACGACCCCTTTTTGGTTGTTAGAAAGCATTTTTAGCTATTTCAAAAGTAGTCCAAAAAATACTTACAGTATAAGAAAATAAATTAGAAATTGGAAGCTACCTGCCAAAGCATCCAAAAGGGTGGATTTTCCAGAGCCAGAAGGACCCATGATAGCCAACATCTCACCAGGTTGAGCAAATCCTGTAAGCTCCTGCAAAATCATTCTCTTCCCATTTTTCCCATTAGATACACCAACCCACAGGTCCTTCCATGTCAAGCAAATACCCTTATTTCTCAACCCAACTTCAATATCATCACCAACAACATAACTTTGATCATTTCCATAGCCTGGCTTCGCAACCGTTTGATCAATCCCTACTGACTTCTCCACCGCAGATTCCAATCTCAGAGACGGGGCTTCATGAATATCTAAACCAGAGTTTTGAGCAGCTCCAGTTTTAAACACAACGCTAAATGGGAAATTTCTGTCCATGCTAGAGCAGGACAAGGAAATCCCGTCATCTGCAGAAGCTGTGCTGCTTTGCCTCTTCATCTCTGCATGATCATCATCAAGAACATGACTTTCCTTGGAGCTGGAGCCTTCCACAGCTGATGCCAACAAGCTTGGACTTGGTGTCCATCTTGGGACATTAGTTGAAGAACTCAACTCCATGCCAAATGGTTTCACGTAAATTTGAAAAGGCTAATCCAACTCTAACTTCCCAGTTTCTTGGTATTTAAAGCACTTCCAAATGCTTGACAATTTGTGAGCTATGATCAGCTACAGCCTGCAGCTTGTCGCCGTGGGACCAACACATTTTCTTCTTTTATCTTTTGCTTAGCAAGAAAAATAAACTTGTTTTGTTTATTTGTGCAGTTAAAAAAGAACAAATAAAACCACATGGTTTATTGCAAATCTAATCCCTGTCATCAAAGCCAAATGTGTGTTCTACTTTCATGCATAATCCTTGGTTGCTTGCTTGGACTTTTGATGATTTGAACGTATTAATTTAGGGTGGTGTATTCAATTGAAATTTTAATAGATTATAATGACATGATTTTAATGTAATAGATTTCAGCATGATTTGTAATTACATGATTTTTCTTATGATTTTAATAGATTGTAATTACAAGATTTTACTTATGATTTTAATTCACGTAGGACTTTCTTGTATTCTCCAAAGTAGATTTCACCAAAGTGTGGATTGGATTCGGGTTAGCCATCTTCCATCCATTAGTTAAAGGATGCCAAGCCTTTAAAGAAACAAAAAGTTGAAGTTACACCAATCTTAGCTCAAGTTATCATTACTATCTATCATGTATGGCTTTCTTCAAATCATCCTGTTCTAGAGCTAAAACCATAGCGGTCCCAAAATTCAAACATAACTGTCATTAAACTAAAACCATGCAGCTATTAAGTTTTGGATAGAGAACTTGGTGTCTGGAACTGAGAATTGACATAGGAACAAGGAAAAATCTTGAATTAATTGAATTTATAAATATTACAACAGACAAGTTAATTGAATCAATTCAAATAAGAAACTGGACAGCTAAAAACAGAGTTAAAATGGTCCAGTTATGACATGATACTAGTACAAAACACTTGTCACTCAAATTGATTCCACAAATTGACTAAGGAAAGACAAATAAATGAGCCAAAAATCTATTGAGAAAAATCCATGCATATTGCATAATATGAACAACTATTGAAAGCAACGTATCTGGAATTTTTGTTTAGAAAGGTAAGCCATATGAGTCTCTTTTTTTATTGGGCAAAGAGATTATCTATAAGATGAAAGCAAACAAACAGTAAGATATGAAACCAAAAGAAAGGCGGGAAACACCTCCTGCAACCAAACAGCTAGGAGAAAAAGAAAACAAAGATAGACTAGAGAAAGCAAAGAAAACAAAGAGGGGTGTATTTAATTGAGATTTTAATAGATTATTTTGAAGCTTAAAAGTCCAGTGGTATCCAATTAGGATTCTTAAGTAATCAATAAAAATCTGGTGGTATTCAATTAGAATTTTTAAATAATCAATCCAAGTCTTGTGGTATTCAATTAGGACTTTTAAAAGATAAGAAAAAGTACGGTGGTATTAAAAACTTACCGATTTTGAGGTATTTCGTTAAATGGTGTATTGTGTGAGACTTTTGAGTGGGTGATATAAATACCAAACCCCATAAAAAAATCCCACCCTCCTATGCCTGATTCTCACGTTTTTTGTTTTTGAGGAAGATGAACAGATGAAGATAAACAAGGTACTCATGTCTTTACAAGGGCTTGGTTTAATCAGACTCGATCCTTCTATATTTAGTGGATAGACTCAGATGGCTGTCTTTTGT